CTGTGGGCCGCTCCCTTTACCTTGGCTACTTCTGGTTTGATCGGTTCTCCCTGCCTTGTGGTTAGGATTTCCATTCCCACATACTATTTATTTCCCTTTTATTTTGATCCCTGAGGAGCCGGGTGCTGAAGCACAGTCGGCACTGTTTGGCACTAACTACCTTTTCAGCATTTGCTCTCAGCGCTGTCAACGTAGCTTTTGACAGCTTCTCGCACAGTCTGTCAGCTCCCTCTGAGCTCACGATTGCCTGCTCATCAGAGCCAAACGTTCGTGTCTTTGTTTCAGTGAGCGCTGTGCTGTCAGCCTTCCTTCACATGGGATTGTGGGTGCTCGATTGTTGGCCTACCCAGGAACGCTGCGATCCGCGCTTCGGAGAAACTATTTAATTTGGGGCAGTTACTTGTAGGTGTTCTTTAAAGGGAACATTTTGCCGGGCCATGACTCAATTTTGAAACCGTAGCTTTCCAGTCAGTAAAGGAGACACTTCTTCATGCACACAAGGCTGATAACAGTGTGTTGTCACTGGAGGAAGGTGGTGACCCTTTCTCGCCACAGCATGCTGAGTTTATATTGCCCTATATCCTGGAAGCAGTCAGCTGCTTTTTTGTGAGTGTTTTCGACATGGTGTAAATTACAAGATTTGGTTTTGGTAGAAGTCACCTATTTGTTATCTTTCTACCCTCTGCTTTCAAAATTTACGTTAAATGGAAGGAATCAGGGGCACCTGGGTGGCTGTCGGTTAGGTGTCCAACTTCAGCTCAGGTCATGGTCTCACGGTTCGTGGGTTCGAGCCCCACATCAGGCTCTGTGCTGAAAGTTCAGAGCCTAGAACCTGCTTCGGATTCTGTGTGTGTCTCTCTCTCTCTCAAAAATAAATAAACATTAAGAAAAAATTTTTAAAGGGAAGGAATCACTAATTCTTTAGGAGTTAGAAGGCACATTGAAAACCCCCAACTAAAGGATATATTCATCCATTCACTTATTTATTGGGCCATCTTCTCTAACTTGGTGGTTAAGAGAACAACTTCTAGAATTACACTGCTTAGTTTAAAATCCACCTATTAGCTGTGTGACCTTGGGAAACTTACTTTGATTTCTCTAAATCTTCATTTGGTTGGAATTAAAATGGAATTGAGGGTTGTGGGATGAAATAAGGGCATGTTTTCATTGTGATTAATTCAGCTCTTGGCACATAGATAATATGTGGATGTTGGCCCTTATTTATTATATTGAACTTGGAGTTAGACCTTGTATCATAAATGCGAGGCAGCCACAACAACACATTTATTCGTTATTTTTACTCTTTATTGTTCTCCAGATGTTTTACTGAGACCTATTAGGACCACTTATTTACCCCTCAGTACCTAAAAAATTGCTACAGATCACATATTCCTGAAAAGGAGAGGCATCTTGAAAATATAGGACATCTTTCTCTTTTTAAAGTGTATTTCAAAAAATAGATTTCAGCTCAATTAGTCAAAGATTGAATCATGTAAGAGTGGGTGGACAGTTAAGTAACAACAGGGGATTTCGTTCGTGGTAGCTTGGTAGAGTGAAGGGTTGTTTCCTTATAATTCACTTTATTGTTGGCTCCAAGTCTGAGGACCAAAGCTTGCCCTGACATTGTCATCTCAAAGCCAACCTATATGTGGTGCTGTAATTTTAAACCGACCAAATGCTGTATCCTGTTTGCACAGTGTGACCACACTCTTCTACTTTAGTTTAAGGCTTGTGAAGTGTTTACTTCTGTCTGTTTTATGGATGTTTTATGGATGGCAGATGCAGGAGTACCTTAAACTGGTTTAGAGAGTTTCCCTATATAAATTGTTTCTGGTAACTGAAAGGGACCGCTTTAGTTTCCCAAACTAAACATTACTTACTTTTCATTTAAACACATGCTATGCTTCCTTCTTAAGTACAATATTTTGAACATGGAAGCATTCATTAATACTATCGGATTATCATCATGAACTAAGGTAAACTGAAGGATTATTGGTTCCACTAAATGGGCCCAGACAACTATACATTTGAATAGTTTTTTTAAAAACGTATCTTGTATTTTTGTCAGATCTAATATTTTAATTCTGACACCTGTCTCTATAGGCTATTTGTCTCTAATCCCATCTACCATGCACTTTGTCCTTTAGCTGGCTACTTCTGATACCCATAAACTCTACAGTCGTATCACCAAACGAATTCAAAGTGCATATGAAATAAAAATTTGAATAAATTTTTGTGGTGTTAGAGCTGTTTTGGCTCTCTAGAGGTCTTTAACTTTTTTTAAAAAAATGTCTAAGTTCTTAGTGTTTTTCACAGCTCAGTTACTATCCAGTAGTTTGACTTTGAGATAATAAATTGCTCTACTTGGGTCCCTTGGGAAAAGAATAAATCTCAGCAATTTTAGGATAGCTAGTATAGTTTAGTCCTCTGGTCCTCAAATAAGCACGTATTATGTATGTCATGCCAGCACAGAGTGGTAAAAATGCCCTTAAACTAGACATTAAGAGGCGGGGGATGATCGTGGGCTTCTACTAAATCCATATATAAGCTTAGGCTAGTCAAGTTCACATTCTGAAAAGTGAGAATCATAATACAGGTTGTTATGAGAATCTGTGAGATTTCACCATTCCTGCGAAAGCAAGGGGGTTGAGAATATAGCAAAGTTGGTTGAATGTGGAGTCTCCAAAGTGTACCCTGAAGGGATTTGGGAGGGAGAGGAGGGGTGGGAGACCAACTTAGGAGGAAAAAAACAGAGCATTATAAGGATTAGAGAACTGGAGACAAGAGGGGCTTACATTTTAAGCAGTGACTAGGAGAACAAGATCCAGAGACATAGTGGACTTAGTCCTACGGCAGGCTGATAAGCACTGGGGTTGTGAGAATTCACCACTGGCGAGCAGCTGTGATGTGGGGTGGAGGGGAAAGAGCAGGGCAGCAGGCTTGGCCTGTGCGTTTTGGCAACAGCGCACAGCAGTTAATGGGTGAGGGCCCAGATTTACGTATATACAATGGAATACTGCTTGGCAATGAGAAGGAATGAAATCCTGCCATTTGCAGCAACGTGGATGGAACTGGAGGGTGTTATGTTAAGTGAAATAAGTCAGGCAGAGAGAGATACCATATGTTTTCACTCACATGTGGATCTTGAGAAACTTAACAGAAGACCATGGGGTAGCGAAGGGGGAAAAAAGTTACAAACAGAGAGGGAAGGAGACAAACCGTAAGAGACTCTTAACTACAGAAAACGAACTGAGGGTTGATGGGGGTGGGGGAGAGGGGAAAACGGGTGATGGGCATGGAGGAGGGCACTTGTTGGGATGAGCACTGGGTGTTGTATGTAAGCCAATTTGACAATAAATTATATTAAAAAATTTTTTTAAGAGATTAAAAAACAAATTTCGATTAGGAAAGCAAATTTTGCTTCATTATAACCCAGGTTTTTTGATCTACAATAGTCTCCTTTTTTCTAATTGATAAATTGTGATCAAGTCCAGAATCATTGCTTGGTGTGATAATGAACTGTGATGATTTGCTTTTGTCTTCTGGCCTGGTTATACTTCCTGCTGCTTTTAGTTCTTAAAGAATTAACAGAGTAAACCCCAGACCTCGAACCAAATATTTCGTATTAATCATTCACCCCTTATACCATTAAATCATATTTTGGGTAGTTCACTATGAAAGTTAAGCAAATTATAATAGGGATTCACTCTAAGTATCTAGTTTTAATCCTCACTTCTGATTTTGGAGATAGGAAAATGATGGTTTATTAGAAGTTCTTTGTGTAGGGGTACCGGGGTGGCTCAGTAGGATGAATTGTCAGATTCTTGGTTCTGGCCCAGGCCATGATCTCATCATTCGTGAGGTCGAGCCCCATGACAGGCTCTGTGCTGACAGTGCAGAGCCTGCTTGGGATTCTGTCTCTCCCTCTCTCTCTGTGCATCTCTCTCACTCTCTCTCTCTCAAATGAATAAATAAACTTTAAAAAAAAAATTTCTTTGCATAATACATCTGGTATAGTAGTTCTTTGTGTAACACATCTGGTACAATGCCATATCTAAAAGGCAGATAGACTGTATTTGTGACCAAGATGAAGGCACAAAGACAGACCCTGGACTCATGGGAGACGTCAACTCATACCTGAAAGATCTTTCTTCTCCTGTATGGTGACTTCCATGGGAGGAAATGGCATATTTCATGGCAACTTTGTTTCTGATTGTCATCTTGAGCATTTAAGATGTCCTGTATTTTTGAATTTAACATCTCAACATCACTTCAGAGCCCCTGGGCTGAGCTCAGAGCTCAGAATTCAGCTCCAGTAAGACTTCTTAACGAGGTGTTTAATTTGTTTCTTCCTAAAGAGATGTTGCTTTGGGTTTCAGGGGGGAAAAAAGGAAAAGGAAGTCTAGCGGATAGCCCCTAATTACACCTCTAGTTGCACGAATACTACTTGAAAGCAAACAAGAACTAAAGCAATAAGAACAGTGGTGGAAATCCAGTGAGATGCTTACAGCTCCTCCCATACAACCCGTCCCAGTTATCAGCAACATTGTTTTGTTTTGTTTTGTCTGCTGCTGGCCTTTTACCTCACCAAGATGTATATACTGGGACTTAGGAATTCCATGGAATAAGTTTAGACTTCTGCATCACTGCCATCTTGATCAAAGAACTTGACTTTCACAAGCCTTAGACCCATGCAGATAATCCAGAAATTGAAGGAAAAATAATGTATTGAATAATTTATTGAAGGATTGAAGGAAAATAATTTACTGTAAAAATAACCATTTTATGTGAATGTTAATTAAATGGCACCAAAAATGTGCAGTAAGCCTCAGAGAAGGAAAATACCTTTCAAAAAAAAAATCTCATTGTTTAATTATTATTGTATGTGAAGATAAAAGCAATTAGGGATTTTATTAGAGATGCATGGAAGTCTTGGGGAAACTTAATAAAATAGTGGTAGATGTGGCAGTATTGATTTGGACTCTGTTTTTCTATTTCAGGGTTTGAATATTATCTTTCATGTAGCCTTGGCTCTCCTAAAGGTAAGTCTGTTTTTATCTTTAAATTGGGTATAATTCAAATGTATAGCCTTTGACTCATTCTAGATTCTTGAACACAACAGAAGACTTTTGTGAGGAACTCTGATTCTCTCCTTTGTTGTTTATTTAGAGTTTGTGTCTTTGTTTTTCTTATACTCTATTTAATTTTACTATCCTAGCACTCCTTCCAGTAACATATAAAGTTGTTTTCATTCATATGAGTTGGATGATGTAAGAGAAAAATTTAAAACCTGTTTTCTGTCAAAATGATGCCAGCCTTTTTCTTAAAATATTTCTTACCATGATAATATCCCTGGAGGTACCTAAACATAGAATTGAGTTATTAGCAAGCTTTTATAATATACTGACTAAAAAAGAAACTGCTACATTTCAATTTGCACCTCTTTCTCTGAGAGCTAGAAACTTATAAGCACTTTAGAATTCAATTATAATTACCTTGTTGGATTTTATATCAACATATCCGTGCAGCTTTAACAGTGTGGTAATAGCAAGACATTTGCTGCAGAGTTGCTGAAAGTAATCCAGTCAGTCAGTTTTTGTCCTTCCGTCAGAGATGACATTCTGTTACTGAAGGCGAAAATTGCCTTATTTATAAAAAAAAAAAAAAATGCAGACTCACCCTTTCCCCATAAAACATAGTTGTTAAAATTCCAGACCCTGGACTTGGACAGATTTGGATCTAATTTCAGCTCTGGTGTACGACCTTGGGCAAAATGCTGTAAGTGCACAGACCCTGAGTTTTGAGATAATAATAGACACTAATTTATGGGATTATTGTAAGAATTAAATATGATGATATATAAAAATCCTTAATATAGTGTCTAGAACATTTTATTGCCTAATAAATGTTAGCTGTCATTATTGTGATTACAGTTATATTCACAGGGTAACTCAGAATTTGTTTCTAGCTTCCCCATCATTCTTCCAAATTTTCCAAAAGATAATGACTTGAAGTCTTCAGAGAGCCACTGGATATTTTATTTCCGTACTTAAATACCTTGACCCAAAACAAAGACGTGACATAATATGGGTCTTGTGTACATCAAGAAGTGGGGTACTCTCCTCACCTCCTATTCTGTTAAACATCTGTTTTTTGTGAAGTTCATAAATTGTACTTTAAATTGTTCATTCAATAATGAGTTTAGTTACGAACAATTCTTATACTAAAGTTATTTTGAGTTTTGAGTTTAGATATGAACAATTCTTATACTAAAGTTATTTTGGAAGTTAGGAAAATATTTAAAATTTCTCCAATAAAATAACAAAAACGGGGCACCTGCGTGGCTCAGTCAGGTAAGTGTCTGACTTCAGCTTGGGCCGTGATCTCACAGTTCATGGGTTCAAGCCCCTCGTTGGGCTGTCTGCTGTCCGCACCAAGCCCACTTTGGATCCTCTGTCTCCCTCTCTTTCTAACCCTCCGCTTGCTCACTTACTCTCTCTCTCAAAAATATACATTAAAAATATACATTAAATATACATTAAAAAAATATACATTAAAAAAATGTTTTTAATAAAATAACAAAAACATATTTGCATGTGTCTTTTAATGAAGTCATGGATCTCTACCTCTAATTTTTTTTATTTGTTTTTTGTCGTTAGGACAAATCAAAACCAAAACTTCCTAAGAACTTTCGGTATAGGGCTGGGATAAGACTTTTAGAATGCCCAAGCAGTCAAAGTTTTATGTAATTCAGACAACAAACAATACTTAGCTGTAAAGCAAGTGTAAGGGAGTCCAACAAAGTTATGATTTGTCCTATCTTGTCTAATTTGTTTTTAAGCCTCAGATATTATATCTTTCCCAAAATGCCTTTCTTCATTATTTTGCTGACTCTTCTTTACTGGTGCTCTTAGCACACACTTACTCTGTCTTTTGGGGGTCACCCAGCATTTCCTCCAATAAGTATATTTGACCTATACTCTGTGTCAGCAGTGTATCTGCCTGGTCAGTTATCTTCCTGATTAGCAGGTTCTTTTGGTTTGATTGCATTATTTTCATTTATTTTTGTCCATGTTAACCTGATGTCACCTGTGCAGAGGACATTCTCTGGCCACAGGGCAGAAAGGTTTTTGTATCTTCTGTAACAATACGTGGATGTTAATCTAGTGTCATCTTGGAGAACTTGCCTAGTTAGAGAAGGTAAAAAGGAGAGCTTTCCCACTAGTGGCCCATATTTACATCCCTTCCTTGTATGAATCTTGGAGCTGTCTTAGAGACAGTATATATAGGCTGAATTGAAGTGTACCAAATTGATCTGATTGCCAGGACCAGATCTTTTTCCACCTGGAAAAAGAATATCCCAAACATATATGACAGTGACTAACTTTTAGCTTCTAATCTAAGAAGCCATATAAAATAATGTATATTTGTTTATATTAAATAAAACAAACTTAGGGACAGTTCAAAGTGCTTATGAGCGCAACATAAGTTATCCATTAGCACATTAAATATCCAGGTGTTATTTGTAAGAGAATTGTGAATTGTGTTAACCAGAGAAAACTGTATAATTCTCTCCCGCAGCTGATAACTGAGGGAGCCAAGACCCCAGGTTGCCTAAAGTCTTTTGGCTTAGTAATGGCAAAGCTGAATTTATAATATTTTTAAGCAGCATAATTATAGGTGACGGTCTCTGTTGCTCAGTATGGTTTAAAGGCACCTACTTTCTGAATGGGAGCTGCTTTCTTTTGGGTTAGAAATAGTCTTCATAGAAAGGCTTTGAGCTAAAAGAATGATTCACTATAGTACATAGCATCATCAGATCATTTAGGATATTGGCAGTGTCCATTAGGTAGGTTAGATATATTCCCCCAAATTTAATTTATCATATGAAACGTTCAATAATCACAGCGTATAGTACATTGTAATAGATTAGACGTGATCAATCAGAATTAATCTTAGCCAGTTCATGTTGGCTGAGAATTTTTTATCAGAATAGGTTCTTTGCATTCAGACAATGGTTCATTTGATGTCTTATGTGTGCATATAAACATAGAGATAAAGAAAATCCATTCATGATTCCATCCCTAGAGGTAACCATAATAAAAGTTCAGTGTAAGATCTTCCTTCCATGCTTTCATCTATGAATATGTAAGCATGCATTACCTATCTACATACATATATATGTATATGTGCATACAGATTTTTTAACACGGGTTTGAGGATTACAGTTAAGATGATGGGAACTGAGAGGTAAATCCAGAACAATGTAAAAGGATGAACATCTGTTTTCTTTCAAAAATTGCTGATGAACAAGACTCTTTCATTTAATAATATATGATGACTATCTTCTTTGTCACTATAGACATGTAGTGGTTAAAAGCATGGATGCTGGAATCAGACTGCTTGAGTTCAGATCCCATCTCCCACAATTTATCTAGCAGTCTTAGATAAATTACAGTTTCCCTATCCTTAAAATGGAGATAGTAGTAACATCTTTCTCATAGGATTGTTAGAGTTTAATGAGTTAGTATATGATTGGTGCCTGGAAACTTGTGAGTATGATCCTGCACCCAGGTACTATTATTGTGCATAGAGCTGCCTTAGGTTTTTTGATAACTGATTAGTGTCTTATTGTGTATACCATGATTTTACTTAATCGATTTTGTATTTAATTTTTATGGATGTTTAAGTTGTTTCTAGACTTTTCCTGTTAGACACACATCCCTAAATTTCCATCTTTGAATACTTATTTAGTATGCAGTATCTTTTGGATAAACTTTGAGGAATGTAGTTACTGGGTCAGACTATTACATGTGCTGGATCACATTTGAATTTTTGATGCATATTGCAAAATTGCTTTCTACTAGCAATATGAGAGTACATTTTCTCTGTATTCTAAGTATGTGCTTTAATGGACAGCAAAAGCAAGTTGTAAAAGCAGATGAAAAAGTAATCATTATACCAATTTGTTTCACTGTAAATAAACAAACAGAGCTCTTCAGGCAGTTTTGAAGAGTCCAATGTTCTTTCATTTGGGAACATCTATTTATTTTTTTATTTTTTTAGGGAAGCCAGTTGCTGCTGGCTAAATTTTAGAAGAATGCGCCTGGCTTAGATGAGCTTTTTATATTATGTAAAAGTTCTGAAACATATCTGATGTTTTTGGCTTTTCAACCTCTCCACTATGGTCTTTTTTCCTTACCATTCTATTGAAGCTTTTTTTATGAAGTAACTAACAAAATCAGTGGACCTGTTTCCATTTTTATCTTCCTTGAATCTTCAACAGTTATCAAAACCTCATAAAGACATAACACTTCCCTTTTTCTGAAATGCTCTCCCTTGGCTTCTGTCTTTTTTTTTTTTTTTTTTT